ATGATATATATGAATGATAGAATTATATAGCATGGTCATTGTTGAATCCTAGTAGGATATTCTACTACCACTGAAGTGGAGTAGACTCAAGCACTATAGTTCCTGGTATTACTCTCAAGAATGAGTATGTGGCCATAATAAATTTTGAAGGTCTTATAGGACTCACTGAATGAGAAATTCTACAAGATATCCTATATTATGATTGCATAATGTTAGAAATATTAAAAATTAAATTTTCAAGCTTATATGACCATATGAGATATAAATGGTACTCTATATAATACAATTAGTTTGAAGCTTTGTGTTAAAAGTCATAGAAGACGAGATGATGAAGACGACTTTATCTAATTTCAGAAGAAATGTTTCTTGAAATAGAAGATCAAGAGCATTGAAGTACTAGAAGTATCCAATATCATGCAGAATTACTCAATATCAAGTAGAAATTGAGTCAGAATTTTTAGATAGCTCTATAAATCAGGATGTGACTTGCATATATTATACTCCTAGAAGGATCGAGCAAGCATGAAGCTGCTAAATGTCAAGCATTGAAGCTAAACATGTAAGAATAGATAGAGATTAGAACATTTAAGTTTCTCTTGAAGAACTTAAATCATGTGCTTATAGATTTGTTTCTTTTGAAATTCATATCCTGAAGTATTGATATAGTGATGGTACTGCTTTAAGTTTTAATTCTAGTTGAATTAAGTGGATTATGCAAACTCATAGAAGAGTTAATGGTTATTTTATTAGCTTGAAGACTAATATGAAGCATTTAATATTCTTAGTTGTAATTTTTACTTGCAGTAATATATGTTAATCATGCATGGAATGAATTATGTTTTACATATAAACAATTACCTATTGCCTATCTAAATAAATTTTGCATTAATTTTATCCATAAAGAAGCCTCAATTAACCATGAAGATTATAGTTCTTTGTACACTACTACCATGTAGGTAGAAGAGAAACTGAATTTTTAGAAGCACATGAACAGTGGGACTATACTAACATATTAAATGATCTTAGAAGGATGAATTTAGCCAAGAAATAGTATAATTCTAAAACTAAATATTGAATACTTTAGCCCGAAAAACTAGAAGTATATGTCCTACCCTGAATATGTTGTACACTTGATATGTGAATTTTATGCCAGCACCAATGAATACTAGAAGTACGATTGGAATCTATGGAACATTAGAAATGATTATTCATAGATGATGTATGTAGCATATTACTACTTGAAGTAATTATAGCATGAAAAGGGGGAGGAATTTTGGGTAAAGGCACAAGAAAATATGGGTAATATATATTTAATAGGCATAGCCTTCCTAAATCTATTTTTAAGTGCATGTATCAGGACTTGAAGTCCCAACCGCGTCCTTTTCGGCCATTCTCTATATTGCACTAATTGCATGCGAGCTGGTAGGTTTGCATTTTTGTTGTTATCTATTTCGTTGGATTGAATACCAACACTCCACATTACATATGAATGTGTATTACTATGTTGTGCTCTCATGAGCTGCAACTACCTCTACTCCTGTATGAATATTAGCATAAGCAGCTATATTTGTAGCTAGTAGCTATCTTTGCACTTCCCTCATAATTAAATTGGCTAGCTAGCACGTTATGTCTATATAGTTCTCGTTGAACTAAGGACTATTTTGCTTTCAATGCATTGCATGCATAAGCAATGGATTGATCTAGGGACAAATAGCCTAAGATCAGGGGGAGTGAGTTAATATGAAATTAGCTCAATGGAGACTAACTCAATTGATAGGATGGATAACTGTGGAATTAAGATGGTAGATAACACACCTATAATGATTTGGGATTTAAGAAGAAAAGGCGTTTAGGAAATTTTGCATTAATGGCAATTAGAAAGTCTAAAAGAAATTTTATGTGAGTTTGAATTGCGTATTCTATATTTTTTAAGTATATGGTCCATTTTTATGTATGAGTACTTGGATCAATTATTTTGGTTAAACAATAAATAAGCTAGACAATGAAATAGTTTTCTAAACTATGATATGTGTAAATCAGGAGAGAACATCCCTGAGTTTATAGGAATGATAAACATTCATAAGTGCACTTTATGTATTCTAGCTCGCTGCATCAATGGATAATAACCCCTGTGTTTAAATATGTGCGTTAATATTTCCCATAAATCTCTATCATAGCATACATGGATGGGCCTCCACTTGTAGTTGGAAGTACATGAATTTGATTTTTTTTAACCCATGATAGGGGATATCTTTTGAAGTATGCTATTAAAGATCTAATAATATCGGCATTAGGGGGAGATAAAGCCTATTTTGAATGCCAAATATTATTTCCATGGAAGGAAAATGATCTTCAGAGAAAAATATTCCTTGAAGCTTGAAGCAGAAATAGTATCAAAATATTCCTTGAAGCTTGAAGCAGAAATAGTATCACGCACTAAATCAAACAATAGTTTGACTAATGCTCTTGTGAAGCATGCAGCGGAGCATATGCCAGATATTTTTGAAAAAAATGAGAGGAGTAACTTAAAGTTACAAACCAGAAGTTGTGTTTACTAGTAGTAAACTAAATGTTGTATACTATCAAACTAAAATCTATAGGGACACCTGTGGGTTCTAGTTTAGTGTATACTTGTTAAATAAAATAAGAATAAACTCCTCTATTCTCATGAAGAGTACACCTCATGAATATGGTTAAGCACCTCATGAAGAGAGTCATCATGAAGATGAAAACCAACACACTATGCACGCACATCATTAGTGTTGGGTATGCAGAACAACAAATTATCTCTTATTTAGGAAATAACAAACAAATAGAATAATCTCACAATGTTAGAATATTAGGAGAAAATAATAGTTGTCGACAATACTACCTCTATAATTACAAATGTTTCTCTTATGAGAGAACCTGAATCCAAAAAACAAAGTCCATGGCAAAGTCGCTTGCAGCGATTATATCGGGTCAATGAAGAAAGCAATTGAGGCTGAATCTCCTACTAAGAAGAAATAAATGTTTTGCTATATCTCTGGCAAATTAAATGAATAAATATAAAATATGTAGTTAATAAGTGAATTATGAAGATCCATATAGTTCCTTAAGAATATAAATCGCAACATATAAAAATTAAATCTCATATACCAAGTATTAAGAAGTCTAAGGTATAATATATTTCTAAATAAATATTAAAGTCTCAAGAAGAGCATATCCTAAAAGAAATAGTTATCGAATGACTTTGTAGTGAATAACACTATCTCATTGTGTATATCATATAATAATCTCTCTTATAGTAGAGAATATATCTCATAGAAGAGAAATGTTATTCACTAAGAATGAGAACATCCTTGAAGGATTTAATCCATGAATGATTTACCGGTCGATTCTTGAAAAAACACCATTAATCCCTGAAATGAATGTAGACCCGAGAGAAAGAAAATGAGAAATCCTAAATACCATAAAGGTGTCATACAAACACTTAGAAAGTGTATATTGTAAAACTAGCATTGAAGTTTTGATATCCTCTGAATACCATAGAAGGTATAAGAATAATGATGACTTTGACAATTGAATTATCCCCTAAATACCAAATGTAAGACTGGATTTATTATTTAGTGGTACAATCAAAATCTCGAAGATTTGTAGAATATATAATTTAAAAATCCACTAAGGAAGAATTATCGGTATTTCGATTCTAGTACAAGTTTGATACACTATCTAGAAGATATTGAATATTAACTTATTTACCCACATAATCCTCTGAAAGGATTTATTACCCTAAAGGATAAAATTTATTTGTTTTGCACAACTAATAAGTGGTTATTATGCATGAAGCATATTGCTCTTATTTATACCCATATATAATTCATAGAATAATTATGAATCAACTTTTTGAAAGATATAGTAGTGGGTGCGGCATACCATTAATTAAGCACATATTTATGAAAAGTGTGGTTTGAATAATGAAGTTCAAATTTTGGCTTTACGATGGGGAGCATATATTTATTGAATCTACCTTGAAAATAAACCACTAGAATTACAAAGATCAAGTAGATCATATTTGTTAAAATATTAAAGTTTATGCATAGATTATGAAGATCAATATCTATTTATGAAGAATAGAATATCCTGAAGAATACATGATCAAAAAAAGTTAAATGTTATACTCTTTTTTTCTATGTGAGTTTTTACTTGAAGGTTTCTCATATAGGGTTTTTAATGAGACAACATGTGCAATGCAATTAACGAATACGATGTACTCTTTTCTCTAAGAATCGTTTTTCCACTGAATTTTCGGATGGAGTTTTTAATGAGGCATGTGCATATCGTGATAATTGTCCAAGAGGGAGTGTTGTAAAACATACGGACTCTATCCTCGAAGATAAGGAGAAGGAGGAATCCTAATCCTAGTCTATTTATATGTGAGCTCTTACCAAACTCTTAGACCTTAACAGGGCTATATATACGTGGGAGCTCTATGATGTAATCGTAAAAATTTAAAGAAATAAAGAATAGTCTCCCTATCGCTTATGTCTATATGTTCTACTTTCATCAACTATATTAATCATGAGAGACGGAGAAAAAAATGTGCTAACCGCTTATAACCGTCTAAACTAAATACGGAAAAAGCGTTTGCTTTGCTTCTATTACTCCGTATTACGGCATCACACCATTGCGAATTTGCGATACAATCACGTCACTTTCTTAAAGATACTATTCCTACTACTACGTGAACATTAGTATTGTGTGGAACACACGTTACATACTTGGCGCTTTCGATCCCACCATCATTGACCATTGACAAATCGGTTGGCCTGTTCTTCGAAAAGAAAACAAATCGGTTGGCCTCCGCGCTGATTTTTTTTGTGCGCACGCATGCGGTTGACATGTTCAATGGGAGCCTACAAATAACTAGTCACGGAAGACGAAACGATAGGTCTAACAAACACATAGCCATCCTTCTAGGGTCAGCATGCACATATCCAACGCAAAGGTCGTCGAGATCCATGGAAATTATGAACCTGATGAGGAGGTCGTCCTTCGACACCAGTTATCACCACCTTCTTGATCTTGCACGATGGTTCCTGAGGATGCAGAATGGTGAATTGAACTTTGAATCTCCTGCGTGTTGTTTAGCTGCTTGGTGGTGGTGGAGACTAGAGAGGAAGATGCAGCCATTGCCGCCGCCTGAGCACCGGAGGGTTCTCCGTTTCGTGGTCTTCATGGCCGTCTCCCTCCTGGCCCTCTCCTGCTGGGCGCTCGTCAATTCCAGGATCAACGTCGCCATGCCTTACTCTGCCTTCGTGATGCGCGACGTCGTCGACAAGACGCCCGCGCTCACCGGCCTAGAAGACTGGCACCCCGCCGCCGGCGACCCAGCGTCGACTTCGTCGACCAGTAACGCCACGGCGGCGGGCTCGGTGAAGCTGAGCGGTCCGGTGATCCGGGAGCCGCCGCTGGCAGAAGGGGGGAACGGGAACGGGAACGGGAACGGAGCGAGAGGTGCGACGCGGACAGCGCGGCGCTGAGGGTGTACGTGTACGACCTGCCGGCGGAGTTCCATTTCGGCATGCTGGGGTGGGACGGGAAGGGGAAGGCGGCGGCGTGGCCCGACGTCCGCGACGCCGGCGCCGCGCCGCACTACCCCGGCGGGCTCAACCTGCAGCACAGCGTGGCGTACTGGCTCACGCTGGACATCCTGTCCTCTGCGCTGCCGCCCGGCGGCACCGGCAGCGACGACGTGGCCAGGGACAGGCCCTGCGTCGCCGTCAGGGTGACGAACGCGAGCCTCGCCGACGTCTTCTTCGTGCCGTTCTTCGCGTCGCTGAGCTACAACCGCCACTCGAAGCTCCGCCGCGGGGAGAAGGTGAGCCGGAACAGGGTCCTGCAGGCCGAGCTGGTCAAGTACCTGATGCGGAAGGAGGAGTGGAGGCGGTGGGGCGGCAAGAACCACCTCATCGTGCCGCACCACCCCAACAGCATGATGGAGGCGAGGAAGAAGCTCAGCGCCGCCATGTTCGTGCTGTCAGACTTCGGGAGGTACTCGCCGGACGTCGCCAACCTCAAGAAGGACGTCATCGCGCCGTACAAGCACGTCGTCCGCTCCTTCGGCGACGGCGACTCGCCGACGTTCGAGCAACGTCCCATCATGGCATACTTCCAAGGGGCCATCCATCGGAAAGCTGTAAGCCCTCTGTTCTGTCCTCGTCGCGAGTAAAGATCGAATTCCTGGAAGCTTTTTGAGCAGACCGGCCGCCGGCGTTTCAGGGCGGGAAGGTTCGGCAGAAGCTGTACCAGCTGCTCAAGGACGAGCGCGACGTGCACTTCACCTACGGCAGCGTCCGGCAGAACGGCATCCGCCGCGCCACCACGGGGATGTCCACGTCGAAGTTCTGCCTCAACATCGCCGGCGACACGCCGTCCTCGAACCGCCTCTTCGACGCCATCGTCAGCCACTGCGTCCCGGTCATCATCAGCGACGACATCGAGCTGCCCTTCGAGGACGTGCTCGACTACTCGGAGTTCTGCGTGTTCGTGCGCTCCGCCGACGCCGCCAAGAGGGGGTTCCTGCTGCGGCTGCTCCGGGGCATATCGCGCGACGAGTGGACCAAGATGTGGATGAGGTTGAAGAAGGTGACTCGCCACTTCGAGTACCAGTACCCTTCGCGGTCAGGTGATGCTGTCCAGATGATATGGAGCGCAGTGGCGCGGAAGATGCATTCGGTGCAGCTGCAGCTTCACAAGCGCGGTAGATTCCAGAGGACGGGTTCGGAATCATGAAGCTCCACACGCGCGGTAGTCTGAACCTACGTGGACGTGGCAAGATTCATCGGTTGATCAATAAACTTTTAGATTATGTTTGGTTGAAGGATCATTACACAAACAGAATCGTTGTTTACTTGATCACTTGCTTGATTTGTTTGCTTCATCATTGTAAGGGAACCGCACCAGCAAGATCTGCATCTCGTTCGCCGGCGTCTCGGCTTGGCACCCGCCAGATTGGGGCAATCAAGCTCGCACATGTGCAATCCCTTCGCCGTTTGCTCGATGTTGTGGTCAGGCGCAGCCGCGTCCTCGATGAACACCTCCGCTTCCATTTGCAGCATTGGCAACCGTCGCCGTCTCTCACAGCCACGAGCGTTGTCACGTCCATCTCCGGTAGCCATGGCCCATGAGACATGCACACTGACATGACTATTGTGTCTTGCGTGTTTGTAATGTGAGCTGTTAACTCACTGAAATCGTGTCTTGCGTGTTTGTAACGTGAGCCCTTTTCGCTTGAACTTATCAGCTCGGCTTATCAGCCATGGTACAATGTTTTTCTCTCACAACAAAACAACATCAGCCAGCTTATCAGCCGCAAGAACCATCAAGTTTTCTGTGCTTGTAATGTGAGCTGTGTGAACTCACTAGCATGAGATGTGAACCCTTAGTTTGGAGACATGTGGATCTCAATTTGCAAAGACAAAAGATGGTGCTGTCCAGTTTGACAACACTAGTGAAGTGCTCTCAGAAAAGCTTCATTAAAATTAAACAAATCACAGCACCTGGAAGGACCAGATCAATGGTGCAAGAGTGACTCAAAATAATGATGTTTTTATGAGATCATCTACATGGTTTTAGTCAGTAAACATTTGCTGCTGTCAAATTCTTTTGAGTTGTGAAGATTCCACTATCCTGTTATTTTGAATACAATGCCAGCACAACATTCATTACTTTGTGAATATTGCATTCTCAAGAATGCATTATCACATTCTCGAACAAGCAATTACATTGTCAGAGATGGAAACTAAAACTGAGGTACATTGCATTCACTCACTAATCGCTATCTCTAGAATGAGAAGACTCTGAAGAAAAGCTCCTTGAGCCAGCACCAAGCATCCAAACAGCACCCTGTACATCTGATCGACAACAATCTGGCAATTGTTCTCATATGTCAAAATGGTATAATGAGACATGTGTTTACATGTTAGCTGGATACCTTAAGAATTCAAGCAATCTCTGAACAATTAGCTCAGCAAATCACAATCACATCAAAATCTGAGCAATTAGAAGGGTGCTATCACGCCCTTGCACTGAATTGATTTCCACCCACCAAGCATCCTCATCCTGCACTCAGCTGGAACCTCATAATGCAGCTCAGAACACACAATGATCCATGAAGGCAACAGAGCGACAGTAGCTTGGATTGGTTGCGGGTCTGTCACAAGAGCAACACACCCCTGGATGCAGATATACTTGGACTGGAGCTTGTCAGCAAAAAGCCTGTTGCACGGGTGGAGAGAGATGCTGGCGGCGATCGGCACCGGCAAGAGCCATTGTCATCACCGGCATGTGGCATCAGCCATGAGCGAGTACTCTCGGTCGAATAGGAATAGAGAAGCCAACAGATAAGGCAAGGACCAAAGAGTAGAATGGTCCTTTCAATTGCCAGAAATGTGAAAGGAAAATAAATGATTAAAAGAGGTCTTAATGGCAGGGTAAACAAGGTGTCAACAAAGTTAGTGACCATTTTGCAAAGCCAACGACAGCAATGGCAGATGTGTGAAGCCACACGAACCAAACGATGGTGCTCTGAATGTAAGCTGCCCAGACCAGAGTTGTGCATTTCTTCTAATCACTTTGTATAAACACAGGGCATCCCTTACAAACAAAAAGAATAGCAAAGAGGCCAAAATGAAACCGACCAATTTCTTGAACAGCATAACTAACAGACTAGACATTTTGACCATAATATCCAGTTCATTTCTTACAGTTCCTTACTTAAACTGCACAGCTAAGAAACTAAACTTTTCTGATTGAACATGGTAACTTACTTTTTTCTATAAATCATCCAAACTGAAAACAAAACACTTGACTCATCATCTCCTTGAAAAGTCAATAGTACCACAGTCATGTTAGGGCGCGTTCAGATGGCGAAAATTTTTGGTTTTGGCTACTGTAGCACTTTCGTTTGTATTTGGCAATTAGTGTCTAATTATAGACTAATTAGGTTCGAAAGTTTCGTCTCGCGATTTCTCACCCAACTGTGCAATTAGTTTTATTTTTCGTCTACATTTAGTACTCCATACATGTGCTGCAAGATTCGATGTGACACTTTAGGGTGAAAATTTTTGGGAGCTAAACAGGGCCTTAATGGATGGATCACTGCATCTTCATGGTGATAGCAATCTGCCCTTTGCAAGATCTGAAAAGAAACAATGTAGAAAACTTTCAGCCATGTACAGTTACACATATTTGAGACATGTACATGGATTTGGAACATGCATCAGATTGGCCATTGAGGCATAAATTTTGAGGCATAAATAAGGTAAGTAGAACAACAATAGATCAAGTTCCATAAACAGCTAGCCAATTTCATGAATGACATCTAGAGCCAGACCAAGATTAGCTTATCTTGGAGTGTATGAGATTGCAACCTTTCAAATTCACATATTCATTTCTGAGAACAGGTACCACAAAAAGTTATAAGTTCATACATCACAATCTGGTTTTGCTAACTCCTATAGTATAACTTAAATTACACGTATCACAACGAAAAACATATAATCAGATGCAAAGTTGTGTCGTACACACTAGGGTTAAATACCGGTGAAAGTAATGTGGTGCATATGAGAATGCAGCCTTCTAATTTCATAAATACATTGCTGCTGACTCCTAGGCACAGACACCATGATTCATATTTTTATGCTGGTATAAATAAAATCTTACTTGTTGTCTGTTTGACTAAAATTTTGCCAATCACAGACAACACAAACATCTATATATAAGGTGCGCAGGTTAAAGATGAGCACAAGGCCAGTACCTGGAGTGTAGAAGCTCACATAGGGTGCCATGGCATAGTTGGACCCCGTCTTGCCTACCTTCTTCACCTGCTCCGACCTGAGCATGACTGTGAAGACGTCCATATCTATGCTAATGAAAATGGTATCTGTGCCCTCTTGGAAGCCAATCACATCAAGCGAGGCCAGCGGGTTAAGAATGGGGAACAGTGTCCTCAGCTTTACGACCCTGCCTTGCACCCATTCCGCAATGCCGCGAGGACCAACCTGCCATGACCACAGGTGGAGGTTGCCATCCTTCACTCCAACGAGTCCCAAACCACCGTCCTCCGCGGTCACAACAATGCCCTCCGATGGCTCAAACATATCCGGCGCATTGATCACATCCAGGCTCTGTCCAACGAAGTCATACTTGAGAACCATTTTGCCCTGCTGAGCGCTAAAGTATAGCGCGTCCCCGGCAAGGAGGCTGGGCCTTTCCTCGATGTAGACATCAAGTTGAATGGAGGATGAAGTAGTCCATACGCCAGTCTCCGATGAGTAGACGCTCGCCCACATGTGAGTACATTCTTCGTAGGCGCCGATGGCGACGACGAGGAATGGCCCCCCGTGGCAGTCAAGATGGTCGCAGCCGTCCGCGGCGCAGAGAACAGCTGCGGAGCGACAGAAGTAATACCCGGAGACGGGCATTGGTAGGTACTGCTGGTCGCCGGTGATGGGATCCCAGACGACGAGGCGCGCGAAAGCATGCCGCTCGAAAGTTTGGAGCAGCGCGCGCCCGTGGCGGCACTCGACGATCCACCAATCGAAGCGGTCGAACGCCGGTGCAGAGAAGGGGGAGGTGGTGGTGGCGTCGGCGGCGGCGGCGACGAATCGAGCGCAGGGGCCTTCGTCGTAGATGTTGTGGAGGAAGCCAAGCAGGGGCGGCGCGCCGTGGAACCCTCGGTAGCGGCGGAGGAAGGCGGGGCTAGAGAGGAGCTCCCGCCAGGCCTTGCAGACGAGGGAGGCGCGCACGAGGCACGCTGGGTCATCCGGTGGGAGGCGGAGGAGGATCTCGGCGGTGGCGTCGTTGATTAGATCCGGCTGCGGCGCCATGGCGTGCACGCGGCCCGCCAAGGCTTGGATTTGGTTTTGGTACGGATTGGGGAACGCCGGAACGGTGAGAGAGAGGAGACGGGTAGAGACTAGAGAGCGAGGACGGCCCACGTGCCACCTCTCAGCCAGGCAAGGCAACCATCAGTTTGGTCACGGAATCCGTCAGTTTGGTCACGGAATCCATTGGCTTGGCTCGAAATTTGATTTGCTCGCAAGATCCCGACATGAAAGGTTTTGACTCTTTGATATTCGATTTCGATCTGTCGCGGTATAATTTTGATCAATAGACTCCAGTGTGACCCTGAGAAGATGGTCTTTGGCTGAGAGGCTGACTCGAAGAGATAACTCAGGTGAATTAACAGTTAATACTGTGTTCTAGACTTCTAGCCATTGAAATCAATGTACGAACAATGCACCGATAGTTCCCTGTTGCGGCCAATGTATGGATATCACACGAGAACTAAGGTACCAGTATGTATGAACACTGCACCGATAGTTCGATAGTTCCCTATTGCGGTCAATGCATGAATATGACGAGAACTAACTGGGTACCAGAACTGAATGGTTTGAACAACTCTTCAGATGGTCATGCACCATATGATCAACCTTGTTTGTGTCCTTGTGGCATGTGGCTTGTGTGTGTCGTAGTAAAAGTCTGACCCACTAAACCTGAACTTAAGTTCGAATGCTTTCAATTCCACCAGTATTCCTGTTACTGAGAAACTGAAACTAAACCGGGCCAGCAATGCGACACAGGTGGTTGCCATATGTTTCAGTTCCTAGTGTATGTTAGCTAAGCCTTAGCATAATCTGAAAAAACAGCCTCTGAAATGTCTCATCAGTGCCCGGTTAATGTTGGCATTGTTCTTATCCTCAGCTTGATGATAAGTAAGATTAAAATCTCCTCCAACAGCCAGGGGCCAGAACATATGGCACGTATGTCTCTCAACTCCTGCAGAAACAGGGGCTTCTCAACGTTTGGAGGTGTCCATAAACACCAGTGAACCACCAATTACGCCCTTCTTGTTCCATAAACTGTACTGGAACTGAAAATGTATCCACTCGATTCGCAAGAACCTGACAAGCTGTGCTTTTTCAGGCCACTACAACTCCGGCACGGGTATCATTAGCCGGGAAGCGCAACGAAAACAGAGAAAATAAGAAAAGGAACAGAAAATGAGTAAAAGGGAGGAAATGGCGTGCAATCAAGATGACAATGAAATAAGTGGCAATTTTGCGAAGCCCGTCTTCAAAATGGCAAATATGTGAAGTCACATCTTAATAGTGTTAAATGTGCAAATTTCTCAAATACCAGGGCTCCGGAACCATGGACAACAACACCCTCGCAAACAAACCAGCCAAGTCTACTCTCAGTTTAGCATTATTAACTAATCTTGGAACCTCGCGATGTCAATGGAGCACATCAGCAGAAGAATCATAATTCATCTAGTGCCTAAAACTTTGCAAATTTGGTTAAGCAGTGACGATGGCAGGTGAGTGGAAATCAGGCTGACCAGTGGACGTGAGGCACCGATGCCACATCCTGCTGTTGGGGTTCACGCGCTTCGATGCCGTGATGACCTCTGTGATGGGAAGGTACACGTAGTGTGTGTTGCAGATGCAAGAAGTGATGCCGCTGAAACCAGCAAATGCTCCATGGACCTGTGGGCATCTCATACAAATAAGAAACTATATAGTGCTGGCGTAATCTACTTAGGATTGAAAAGGTATTCACCCGAGGTGTGCTAGAACAAGGGGCAACTTACAGCATTTTGTCCAAGCACGGTACACAAAATTGCATCAGATGCATTGGCACGGCATGCACGAACCATGTAAGTTGGATCAATATATTTCACGTCAGCTGGAACACCAATGTCCTTGAAATGCATCTTAATCTGTAAAGTGCAGGCAAACTCGTTACATGATTGATGGCTTCTGAAAAGAAATATGGTAACAGAAGGAAACTGGGAAATCATTGGTTTAGCAACCGCAAATGAGCAGATAGTAGTAAAGTGTGATGTAAACTGTAATCATTATCATCTAAAACTCTACTCGAAGGGCTACTAATAAATCATAAAATCCACCAGACGAAAAAACTTAGCAAATAGAAACCTTCTGTTGCATGTGAACACCAATGTCGCTCAATATCACATTTCCTGATGCATCAGTTGCACCTGACTTTTGCAGTAGATCCTGTAACAGAAGGAAAAAAAGGAAGGGGGAAAAAAAGAGTCAAACTATACAATTTTGCAGCATCTTATCTGCATTGCCACTATGTACATGGAACAGAAGTAGATAGAGGCCAGTCAGATGTGAACTTCAGCTTACTTGTCCTGCAGCTTCTGCAACACAAACCACACAGAATCCCTTACTATTTAGCAAATGCTCAAGGTGCCGCAAAACACCAAATTCACCATCTAGAGTGAACGGGACCTTCATTCATATTGTAAGCTTCTGTTACTGCATCCATGTGTGAGGAAAACATATGGCAATTTTAAATATAGTAAAAGTTACATTTATATTACCTCAGGTATTAAGCAGACATCGACCTGCCCACTTGAAAGAGAAGCATGCATTGCAATAAACCCACTGCTTCTTCCCATTAATTTGACCAAACCGATACCATGGTAAGCACTACGTGCCTAAAAAGAGTAGGGCATCGTAAATAAAACAAAGATCATCCACATGCGACATCTTTCTGTAAACCTTGTATCTCTAAACAATGTCAACTACAGAACAGCCTGCATAGAAAGTATCATCAGACTACCTCTATATATGCTGAATTAATGGCTCGTTGGGCTTCTTCCACAGCTGTATCAAAACCAAATGTTTTATCCATCAAAAGTATATCATTATCAATGGTTTTTGGAACTGCTACAACTGAAACCTTCAGCTTTCTCTTACGGCACTGCAATTGTCAGGAATATAAGACCTTCAATATGACAAATCAAGAAGACAAGATGAACTAAGAGTAAAACATGTTTTTTTCTGCACACACGTGTCTGCACCTATTCTTGGTTTGCAGTGAGCAAGGCTCAAAGGATTCCCCAAAAACACTCATGCATAATTCATTTACAAACATTTAACATGCAGGAAAATATAATATTAAATGAAAATATGAAAAGAATAATAGAGACATAATAACCTCTTCATGGATAGCATTTGCTCCTGCATGGGTACCGTTTCCACCAAGTACAAAAAGCATGTCAATCCTTCTGGCCTACAAATCATATTCATATTATTATAAAAGAGAAATAACTATTATACATTAAAAATCTCAAATTGATTACCTGTATACTATCAACAATCTCACTAGTTTTAGCACCACCACGAGAAACACCAAGAAAACTTCCACCATTAAGATTTATATTCTCCACTAGACCACGTGAAAGCTGGGTGATTTGTCAAAATGAAACTTGAGAACACCATGAGCAATAAGTTTCTGCAAATGATGTATAAAGAGAAGTATTCTTACCGGCATTTCTTTGAGGCCCTTTTCAAAAAAACCACGATAACCAAATGGAATTCCAACAATATTCTTAACACCATAGGTCTCTAGGGTGAATACTATCTGCATGTGCAAACACATTTGTTAAATCATAGGCAAACACCTCTGCTACTAAGAAAGTTGGAGAGGGAGATCATATCTGTTTTCAAAGCATTGAGCAGAGATCATCCATTGAAAAGAAAGCATATACTTACAAAATACAGAACATATCTGCTGGTAGCACCATAATAGTCATTTCAAAATTACTATGCTTGCATTTCTGGTTCAGGATAAGGTGACAAAAGGAAGCAATAAATTAGGAATCGATCTTATGCAGCCATGAATACTGATCCACCTTGATGTTTGCAATTCGCATCAGAGATGTGCATGAATTAAATTAAAAATAATTCATATTTTGATTTATATGTAGCTAAGTGTAGCAATTATATGATAAGCACACTTCCATAGCCCTATGTTAAAATGGCCGTAGCTGATTAACCTTATTCAAGTTGATGTTCGCCATGAATGTCAAGAGTTTTGGGTTTGAAATGCAGAAATGTCTGGACATTTCTTAAAGATAAGGACCTGTCTGATGACATCATTCAAACCAGGGCACAGACCTCCACAGGTAACTATAGCAGCTTTTACTTCCGCTGGCTCATAGTATATCTCCTTGCGTGGTCCTGCTCGATGCACCCTACAGAAAGCTGCCCATCACTGCTCCACCCTTCTAGCATTTTAATGATTTAATAAATTAAATAAACTACTCACAGGCGCTCTCTTGTTGAAAACAAAAAGGTGAAAGCTGATATGAGACAAGAGTGGCACGGAAGCAGGTGTCAAAGAAAACATACCATTGCTCCACCCAGCTACAGTCAGGATCAATGCACTCTGCTCCAGCAGAAGTAGGCGAGGAATACCTTATCACCTAGAGAAGAATGTAATGTCAAGTTCACAGTATATCCTATAAGAACATAACTATTTTGTTTCATGAACTGTAGGATCTTGAGATGCTAGATGCAGTGATGATGAGTGCAACAGATGCTTTGAAGTTTGAACTGCTTCAGTTGCATTATTTATAGCTTCCACTGGGCATACCAATATAAAGCTAACATTCAAATTTGCCCATTGCAGATTGCTGATGTTTAAAGCAACATCTCCTCTTTTTTAATACAGTGGTGAACTATCCTTACACAGTTTTGAGATGGATATGAGCTCTGAATTGTTAAAAAACGATTAGTCATTTTTAAAGTTATTCTCCCCATGATACAACATGATAATTATCCTAAAGGAACTGACCTTCAAAAGTGCCCGATCATCATTGTTAACATAACCATTCCACAAATCCACATTTTCATCACCTGTAAGAGTTCTGCTAGGGTAATAGCAGATAGTGATGCATGAGAAAATGTTGTGATGTTCTACATATTTAATAGCTTAGAAGAAGAAAGCTAGTTAATTCAAGCAATGCCAAATAAAGAGGTAAGTGAGACCTGTTTTTCTTGAGTGAGAACGTAGTTGGCCTTGGTTTCAAATCATATATATCAGTAATACTTGGCAAATTAAATCGTCTTTCCCAGTCTTCCTGAAACTTCTGCTTCCAAGATGGATCACTGAAGTCTAATTCCACTTTCGAGGAAGTAGCTCTAACACGCAGTGGAGCAGGCTTTATTATCTTCTTGCTTTTGCAATGTTTAAAATTTGAATGAGAAGAAGCATGTAAAAACAGATCCCTTGTTGATTGCAGAAACTGCTGCTGTTGTGTGCTACAAAAACTGCCGCTTGTTTTTAAAGCAGCAGCCATCAATAGATATTTCAACGAGTTCAGAGCGGTGTCCTCTAGTAACCTGAAGAAGAAATTCAGGTAAGACTTTGCAGTTAACAATATTAAATCAGGGCATGACAAGAATAAATTTAGAAATTAACTGATAAAACAATTTTGGTCTAACAGGAGAAATTAGAAAGTGATACTGGATCTACATGATTGACAAGGAGCTGTTTGCTACACGACCAATCATAGCGGAAAACAAATTTCATGAAACAAGTATAGCAATATTGGCTGCATTTAGGGTAGAGGGACGAAATTAAGCTCCGGCCCCTTGTACTTAATATTGACATATAAGATGAAAGATTCTATGAGCAACGGAAGAGGTAAGAAAACTACGAATAGCAGATAGATAGGTTGAGGATTCAATATTGAGGCCACTATATCTAATTCCATAGGAAAAATTACCAAGCACTGAATCAAACCTTCCATCAGTACCAGCTAAACAAGCCTCTAGCAATAAGTGATCTATGAATCTCTCTCCTCATCCAAAACGGAAGTACTTACTTCTTAGGTAAACCACAGGTACACACAACACAACATAATCAGAAAGCACCACTAAAATACACATTGTTGTAGTGTTAACATAGCGTAAAGAAATCAAACCCATTAACTCCACCAAGTTGACTCGTGTAAAAGTTCAACACCAAGTACCGGGCACCAAAGACCAATGCAGCACTCAGAACAATGCCCTGTTCGATTCACTAAAAAGACAAGCTGAAAAATACTGTTCGCTGATTTATTGGGAGAGAAAAATATTGTTCCTTTGCTGAAAACTCATAAGACGAGTACCAAAGTTTAGAGATGTGGATGTTTCCATCATGTCAATCAGCACACTTACTATTACTGCAGTCTACAGGGGCCAATCAGCACACTGGCCACAGAAGCCAATCAGCACACTGGCCAATTAACAAGGCGCTGAACAAATGAATCCGTAAACCCACAAGCTCTAAAATATATGACTATCGAAACTAGAAACGAGCCCTTATTGTTCCGACTCCTATACCCAGGATTAAGCTCAAACTAGATGCGACCATGTTGTATCCAGATTCCCCGAATCGTGGCCGGAGCCAACCCATACAAAGCCCCTTCTACGCAGAACGTATCGTCAAGCAAGTAGCCTACTACCGCCAGTAGCATCGCCGCCTGCGAATCTAAATGGAAATCAATGGCTACTACCATACCAAGCGTGAGAGTTGGCGGCGCGACCTTTACGGCGGTTGAAACCCGGAGCGAATCCGGGGGAAATGCAGCGGCAGGGGGATCAATGGAGGGCGGAAGAGACGAGCGCGCACCTACCTACCACTGCCAGTTCTTCGGGGTTCGGGCGAATGGCGATTGGCGAGAGCACGAGGGAGAAAAGGAGCTCCTCTCCTTTTTGGCGAGCCTTTTTGCCCCGTTTGGTTTCGATGCTCACTGCTCCGCTTCGCGTCAACTTTGGGGCCGCGGGCCGCGGCGGAGAAATTGAGTGGGGATTGGGGAGCGGGCGGAGAAATTGAGGGCCCCCGATGCAGTGCGCGTGTTTGATGTCGTTGGGCCGTCTTTCAGTCTGGCTCGTACACGCATCAAAGCAGGCATCAGCCTGACTTCAGGAAACGCTCCCCCCTCCGTTTCGTGGGCGATTTGTGGCGGCGATGGCTGGCTCACGCGTGTGAAACCTCCGCCCGTGCTCCCGTGTCCAGTGAAATCCGCCGTCTTTGTATGCGGCTCCTCCGGCGCTGAGCTTCCTTCCTTCTTCTCCCTGGCTTCTCCACCCAATTCCGTGAGAGACCGGCGGTGGTGTTGAGGTGTGGTGTCCGGCGAGACGGCGTTCTTCCCCGGCGGGCTTCCTCTCTATTCCCCGCCGCGGATATGCTCGGACACGACGCCGCACGATCTTCCTTGCTGGGACTCCGGAAGGCGGTCGTCTTCTTCCTTCGTCTTCCTCGGTTCCGGTGGTACGCTTGGTGGTGATGTGTACCAGATCTGCTTCCTCTCCGTCGAGATCTGCTTCTTCTTCGTCGCCTCGTCTTCTTCTTCTCCATTTTGCGCTTGGTGTTTCCTCCGTCGACCACCCCAAGGTGAAATCGACCCCCAATCCTCGTACTATTTGCTTTGGATGATGCTAGGGTTTCGATACCATCTGTACAAGCTCCTATCTTTGTGTCTGATCTGAGCAGTTCCAGCCGCTTGATTTGTTTATGTGATGGATTTAGGGTTTCAATTGAACTGTTCGTTTGTTCTTGTTTCGGTATGGTCTCAGTACAGTTCAATGACCAACTATCCTCTAGCAACTCCACAAGGCTGATGGCAGAGAATGGATGGGCAGATAGGTTCCATGCCAGCCATGACCTTGGGTTTGCATTTTTTTGAATCTTCTGTTGCCTGCATTTTTTACCTTGCTGTTGTACTAGCTTTTTATTTATATGGCAGCCATCAATAAATTAAACAATGAATTACACCACCAGATTCATAAGCTAAGGCCATTTTTTTATAAAATGCCTGTAATGTCATCATTGTTGCTTTCAACTTGATGATGTTGGTCATTAGTGAGGGATTTGAGATCAACGATTTGTTTCATCACAATCCGTAGATCTTAAAGTTCCACGCTCATGGTAAGTTTCATTCATTCATTTTGACTGAGGCTAAACCACTCTTTTATTTCACAGAAATGGGCACTTGCTATGTGGTTTTCAAGGGGAAGAAATCCTAGGGTTTACCTGATTTGATATGAGTGCAGTAAACAAGTTCTTAGGTTCAAAAATGTTATATACAAGAAGTATAATAGCTATGAGCAGGTTATTGTAGATTTTCATGCATCAGTGAGAGATTTCAATGCACCTCTTGGACCTGCAGCTCCCCTCCCCTCTAATCTGCCTCAAGATGCTTGTTGTCAAGGCATTCCACCAGCTGATGGTAAGGTTGGTTATTGAAAGAATGTGTTAATCATCTCATTTGTTATTTTGTTGTTTGGACTATGGATGTAGGTGAGCAAAACTGGGCAGCACTTAGTTGTAGGCCTGTGATGACTACAACTACATGATCGATGAGCTGCCTCAGTGTGTTACTAATTTGTTTAATCCATTTCTATTACCTATCTCCTATCTATTGATCAAGTGCTGGTACTTACTGCTTAAGCTATTCATGTTGGTATTTTTTCTCGCTTGACTAGTCTTTTGTAATAAGCAGCTATGACTCCATGGTTAATTAGTTAATTTATCTGAGGCCTGTTAATTTCCACAACATTAATTGCATGTTGGATCCTGTATTTTATTTGTAATGACACACTAAATTTTTTTGTGATGTTGGATTTCTCTTACCTATATCATATCTGTTGTTCATTTGTGTGGTCTTCTCCCTAGTTGCTGGCCTGGCCCGGAAACAAACATAATCTCTAGTTGGCAGTTGGAGTTAGTTGGTGTTGAGCCTGGCTCTCTGCTGTGGAATCAAACAGAATCTTCTCTGGGCCTGGCCCGTTGGGTACAGGCAATCAACAAGGGGCCTGCACCGCTTTAGCCCGACTGTGGCTGGCCTCAACTTGGCCTGCGGGCCGAGCTCCCTTCAGCCCGCGTACCAAACACGCCCTGAGTGAGGATTGAGGAGCGGGCTGGTGCCCGGCGCTGGCCGCGCTGCCTGCCTACGTGCCTCACGCCCTCACTGTGGGTACATCTGCACTCGAGTCGAGGATGTTGATGCGGTTCTGTTGGTTGACGCTTAACCGGAGTCAAATTTTCGAGGAGTCAATTTTAAAAGTTTGATCAAATCTATAGAAAATACTAGTAAAAATCTATGATACCAAATAAGTATTGTCATGTTATTTAAGAAAATATAGTTTCATAATAAATCTATTTAACGGTATAAATGCTTATACTATTTTCTAAAGTTGGTTAATGTTTATAAAATTTGACTTGTTTTAAGCTTGAAATCACATTCTCTTTTGTACGAAGGGATTACTTTTGTATTTATCCTTCTTCTCTCACCTCCAAATCATCTGGCTATTTGAAAAGCTTGTCGAAGATGCCTTGATGTGACGTAGAAGAGTGAGGAGTGTTGAATATTTAGTCATTTTGACGAATCAAATTGCAGCGGACCCTAAACACACTATCATAGTACACATCGTCATATGCACTAGAGATGAGTTTAGTTTGTACCCTTGAGTGGAAACACCGATAAGGACACATTTGACTATGCCCCTGCTGCTACGTCAAGTGCATACGGTTTTACCCATTTGCCCTTCGCGCCCATCCATTTAACCATTGGCCAAGGCCAAGGGCGGGCGGTGGTCCCCCAACTCTCCTTCTCACCTTGTCTATAGGAGCACTAACTAGCTTCCTATTTAAGTTGAGCACCTTTTTAGTGAGTGTACCATGTCCCACCCCTACACTTATTGTGGGCCTTTAGAATTCCTTTGATTAATTGCTAGACTAGCTATGGGCCAAGCCCAATTAATCCAACATGGAGGACGTGAATCTTAGGGCATACAACCACCTTGTAGTGTTCGGGCAGGCGTTAGGTCCAAGCATATAAGATCTACGAGTACACATGTACCAACCACCATGATGTGTTAATTTTCTATCAAAATTATTAGGTTCGTGGTCGAAGCTTGGACGTGGAAAAAAGTTAGGCGGCCACTAAGCAAGTACCTCAAAGTTGGGGACAAGCGTAACCTTCAATAATTTTCAGGACGACCACAACAGCCCACAAATGCTGTGCACGACGGTAGACAAGCAACCTGCTCAAAGTTGGCTTGGGAATTGGAATTTGGAATTGACGATTTCCCAGGTCGATTCTTCAGTAGAATTTCTCCATTCCTTTACGCTTGCTTGACATTGCGACTACGTACAGAGACAACATGCTCGATCAGTAGTCTCGCTCTCGCACTCCTCGCTCCCTCCAAGCGAGAATGACGTCGCAGGTGATGGCCCTTCCCTGGTTGGTGCGCGATCCAACCTGCCTGTCGACGTGGTCGTGCAACGGGAAAAAACACAAAAGAAAGATTTGTTGTCCAGCTCACCAGCTCCGAGACGTGGGCCTTTGAATTGAAACAGGGGTCCCACCTGCCGGGCCGAGAAAACGCAAGGCTGGAGTCCAGGTCCAAGCATGCCGATGGAGATGGACAGCTTGGCAGAGACCGCCGGATCACGCTGTGTCGTCGCCTGCAGCTGTATTCTTTTTTTTGGGGGAGGGGGGGTCTTGGATGACACCTGTATAGCTTTAGCAACAGTGACAGCGGAGGAGACGTCGTTACTGGGGTAAATGAACGCTTGGTGTCGGCACATCTATTCCTTGATGTTGCCCCTCGCAAAAGCCAAGGATCTTTACAATTTGCGACTTTTTCGTGTCTCAGTTCTCCTCGCTTCCACGGTGCACGTGTGCACAGAGGCCTTCTTCCGTGCTCTCACGGTTGCGACGGAGGCCCTGATGCACACCACGTGGGAAACACCCAAGTGGCCAAGTTCATTTTTTGTTTCTTAAATATAATAACAATTAGGTGCTGTTTGGTTCTAACATTGGAAACGGTAATGTAAATAGGACCTTATCACGGTGCGAATGCTTTCAAGTTCCAGGTAATAGAAACCGTGGATTGTTTGTTTTCATGAATGCAAAGGGAGTGGAGCGGCCGTATCAGTTAGCGCTAGGTATAGGAGCGGTACCCGCATTTCTTTGGCCAGTCACGGTTTGCAGTGTTATCCATTACGGACTAGCCAAACCAAACTGAAACAAGCGCAATCTGGTTGCATCATGAAATGATAACGGACAGGAACCCCCACTAAACAGCACCTTAGTACTATCTCCGTCTAGAAAATAAGTAATTCTAACTCTATTTGTAATCAAACTTTCTAAAATTTGAACAAACTTATGAAAAAGAATCAATATTTATAATATAAAATAGATATATTATGAAAATGTATCTCTATTTATCTAGTGTTATAAGCCTATATAGAGATAAAAGATTTATAACAAACTTATTTAGAGATAAAATATTTATACTATTAAAAGTAAGATGTGCATTTATTTTGAAACGACGGAAGTATACACATGCATGGGGATAGAGCTGGACCTTTCTATTATTCTCTGGCGCTTTGAGGCCCTGACTTGTGGATGACCGATGCCATGGTCCAAGTATCCAACAAACTTGAGCTGTTGAGCACTACTCCTAATTTTCTTAGGCACATGTATAGGTTCCATGAGTCAGAGTAGTAGATACAAAGTGCAACAATCACCACCAGTTAGACGAGCCTAGATCAAACCATGGTGGTGTGCTACCTTTGTCCTTTTACTGGTCCTGTTCGTTTCACTGAAATTTGGCTTTATCTGATTCGTTTCGCTGAAAAGTACTGCTGAAGTAGTTATGTAGAACAGAACTATTATCTGTCAACATATCTTGTGTGTTGAGCTAGGGAAGGGGGTTGATATTGCGAGGTCGAAACGGTGCAGTGACATGGTTCGCAAAAAGCAAAAGGCGGACACATTTGCTCCAATCCAATGGTTAAAAGTTGACACGGTGGAATCGGTGGCAAACCGAATTGAACTGACATTGAGACACTGTCAAGCCAAATGGCAGAATTGTTTGCTAGCACAAATTGCACAAAGCACGGGTCCCACTCCCAGGTGGATACGCGTCGGCGATGCGACCTCAAAGCTAACGGCTATAGATGGCCAACGGGCCGGGCCGGCCCGGCTCGGCCACGAGCACGGCCCATAGAGGGTCGGGTCGGCACGGCACGTCGTGTCTCTCTCGGGCCTCGTGCCTAGCCTTTGGCCCAAGCACGACACTATGGACCATAATTCGTGTGCGTGCTAGCCCGCGAAGCACGACTAGATCTGTGGGCCGTGCCGACCCAAAGCCCGGTGACCATAAGGCACCTCAAAAATCTTCTCATCCAACACTTAGCACAGATTCATTCATTCAAAATTCAAAATCTCAATTCACAAGTCACAATCACAATTGTTCACATATTCAAACTTCTAAGTAAATGATCAAATGACTCATTCACAATCACAATTGTTCACAGATTCAAACTTCTAACTTAGTAAATAACCAAATAACCAAACTCAGTTACTCAACCACAAATTGATCACATATTCTAACTTCTAAGTCAAGAACTTAACAAACTCCAAATGACCAAACCCAACAAAACAAAAGGCACCAAAGGAGAGAAAATAAATGAGTTGTTTGTGCAATGCTATCTCATTAAAAACTTTTCTAGATAAAACTCACCCTGGTGAGAAACCCAAGAAAAAAAAAAGAGCAGCACAGCTCTTAAACTAAACCATTGTTCAAAGGTCTCACAATCATAGTCTCACAGATGACAGATACAGATAACACTCTCCTTTATCAAGTCTCAACTCTCAAGTCTCACACTAACTCACTAAGTTCCAGCACCAGCCCCACTCTCCACTTCCCAGATAACATTCTCCTCTCTTAAGTCTCAATTCTCAAGTCTCACACTAACTAAGTCTCACAACAACCAGCCCCAGATGTACCAGCAACCCCAAATGTAGCACCAGCCCCAGTTGTACCAGCAGCAGCCCTAGATTCATCTTCATCAAGATACAAATTCTTGAATGAGTCTTCCAACTTTTGGTTGTAAACAGCATGTTGTAACCTTCTTTCTCATAACTTCCAATCATTTATGTAGGTGAACATCTCCATAATTTCAGGCAACAAGCGTCGTCATCGCTCTTCAATTATCCTTTCTGTCAAGCTGAAACATGATTCTGAAGACATAGTAGAAACATGAACCGACATAATATCTCTAGCCATTATAGATAGGATTGTTATGTTAGTTTGTGGTCACGCCACCATAGAAGTAAATCAAAATCATCCTTATATGAAGTGACATTGTCACTGTCTAGATAAATTGAGAGCTCACAAACAGTAGAACCAGATAAAGATGAAGTGGGGGCAGAGGCAGTGGAAGGACCAATAATACCAGATCCAGGGCTTCAAAGATTATTTTCCATGCCTGTTTTTTCTTACATGTATGGCTTGCAGGTTGTGCAACCCTTTGGGACCTAGCTGCACCAAACTTTCTCTCATATTTGTTAAACAACTTGTAAATTTCAGTTTTCACATCAGCATAATATGAACTATAGTCACAACCAATGTTCTCTTTTAAGTATTTGCAGAACATTAAACAAACCTCTCAACTTAGCTCTAGGATCAAGTATGAATGCAAATGAATATAACAGAGGTATATCCTGCTAGTATTTAAAAAATTTAAGCTTCATAGGATATACAACAGCTATTAGATTTTGATCTTTTTCACTTGCATGCAAATAAGAAGAAATCTCTAGCAGATGGTGCAGAATAAGTGGACTAGTTGGATAGTAAACACCAAAAAGAATAACAGTGGAGTCATAAAATAGTTTCAGGAACTCCAATATCTTTTCAGCTACATATCAATGCCTTGCAGACAATAATTGTGAGCCATAATTAGAATTAATGAACATAGAAAAAATATGCTTATATGGAACCAAGTGTTTAAGCATAAGGTATGTAGCATTCTATCTAACATCCATATCTAAGCCAAACTTTCTAGGTCTAACATCCTGAACAGTACAGTAGTTCTTGAACATAGCAATTATTTGATTAGAGGAATTTAAGAAGTTAATAGCAGTTCTAAAATCTTCTGTGTAAGATTTGATTCTCTTTAAACCAGATTTTACAATCAGATTAATGATATGACAAACACAACGTTGATTCACAAGACTATACTTACGCTTAGAAGGATCTGAAGACTCAAGTGAAAGATCAGGACCCAAATAACCAGCAAACATAGATGTCAAAGTATTCATAGCCTTAGCATTAGAAGAAGCATCGTCTAAAGTTACAGAGAAAACCTTGTCAATCAGACCATACTCCTCAATCACACAAGCAATTCTTTCAGCAATATTTTCACCAGAATATTTCACCTCAATCAACCTAAGACCAATAACCTTTTTCTATAACTTCCAATCAACACTCACATAATGAGCAACAACACTAATGTAGTCCTCCTTAGCATTACCAAACCAAATGTCTAAAGTCAAAGCAACAGAGGAAGCAGCAAACAATACAGAATTCTTAAGCATATTATGACATTCAGTAAACAGCTTACTAAAATCTCTAGTGGTGGTCTGTTTAGATACCTTAACAAACCGAGGAGTTATGAGCACGAACAATGTACTCCTCCCAGGCTTCTGTCTCACCAATACCTAACGGCAAATTAAGCGACACAACTCAGATCTAGCAACATCAGGTTTATAGTCCC